ACTTTTCATGAATAGCAGCCTATTATCATGATTTTTATTCCCACCGTGCACCTAACCAGTATGAGAAGGAGATACGAGGCCCGTAGATTGGAGATCGAGACGTAAGAGGACCTAGTGGTTGGCGAAGATATGAGCAAGACTACATATTTCTCGAGGAGAACAAGTACAGCTTGAGAGAGCACTCGAACCCTTTCCATGGGTACTCCGAGCCACCAATTGCGCAAGATCCCAGCCCATCGCTAGAGGATATGGTGAAGGCACTAGAGGCTCACACGTTGAGATTTCAACAAGAGTACTGCGAGCCATTAGTTGAGAGAGATCCTGGTCCGTCGCTCGATGAGATGATGAAGGAGTTGACGGCTAACACTCTTAACTTTCAGCAAAGTGTTGAGGCGAGCATCAAGAACCATGGACTGCGCATCAGAAATTTACAAGGCGAAATTGGCCTATTGGCGGAGCAAATGGACCGACTAGTGTATCGACTGGAAACGAGTCCAATGAGTTCGAGCGCCATCCATTCGTACAGAGAGAACCTCGAGGAACTTGAAGAGTGCACACATGAGTCGGAGAATGAGAAAATTACGAATATCGAGAAGAATGAGAGCGAAAAAGACAACCAAGCTGCAGAATATGGGGCTAAGCAGTTAAATACGGGGGTACCCCATACTCGTCCGGCTGTAGCGAAAAAGTGTACCGTTCTCCCCGCTCTTGTGCCGATAGAAGCCGAACCATGTCTTATCTCTTCCAATATGAAGTGGGTACTGAGCAAGGATGCCTTGAAGTATGTCTTGGGCCTTAAATCTAGCCTCTTGAGACGATCGAGCAAAATGAAAGTCATGAGTAGGATATTGTTGAGGCGGTGACCATGATCGAGCGCGGGTTGCTACAGATTCTTGAGGAATTAGCGTCATGGAGGAAAGATCCGGTGAAGCATGCAACGCCGAAAAGTGGGGATGTCGTCAAGCATGGAGTGGTGAGATTTGTGCCTCCCTTGAGGCCACCTCCGAAGCCGCCATGGATCTTTTGATGAAAGGGAGCAATAAGTCGGGCCAACGACAATAAAAAGAGGCGCTTGTTGGGAGACAACCCAATGGTGTGCGTGGTTCGGTGACTTCTTCCGCATTGACTAAGGTGAACTCATTTCTTTTACCTCAATTTTTGTTTATTTGAGTTTATTTGAGTGTCTATGATATATGCAAACTCTAAGTTTTGGGAGGTGGGTTCTTGGTGAGCATTCATGTTTTATTATATGATTATATTTATGCCCTTAGAGTTTGAGTTCTTAGATTGAATTGTATGATATTTGTTTGTCGTGTGTGAGTGTGAGATCGCTTGTACGTGGAATTTTACGATGATGATATGAGAGTCGGATTGGATTTATTGTGCTAGTTTAAATAACTTGAGTTAATTATATTTGGTTAAATTCTTGAGGTGTTTTTATTTTGGGGACAAAGGCACGAAGGTTGATATTTTTGTGATTCATTTATGGTGAGTTGGTTTTGAGACGATTTGTGTTGTTGAGATGTGCTTGTGATTATCTTGATCAATGTTGATTAAGTTTGGGGACTTGAAGTTGAAAGTTGGGGTTTCTATGTCACATAGTTGAAAAAAAAGAATAATGAGGATGGAGGAATAATTGGTGGAGTTGAAAAGCCGTTTGACAAAAAAAAAAAAAAAAAAAAAAGAAGGTTATGGGCTGCAACAGCTGCCAATCTGTGGGGGCTCTAGTGCATAATTTCAATAATTTCGGTATCTAGACGAGCACGAAAGGCTAAAACCATGGGTTGTGACGGAGCTGTCGTTCCCTACTTAAAAAAAAGATAGAGAGAAAAAAATACGAAAAAAATGGAGTTTGGAGAATGAGACATTTAGACTTCGACTAGAAACGGAAGGGAACTTGACTTGTTAGCAAAGAGAAGAGTGTCATGAGTTGCATTGATCGATGCATTCGTTATAGAGATTGATATACTGTAGTGGTCACTTGGATTGATACTTGATTGTTTGAGTTCTTAAAATGATTTCATCTCGAGTCCGGAATAATTGATTTGAGTTGTTTGAACTATGCACTTATTTGAGAATTGTGAGGCTTTGAGCAAATGTTCCACGTACTTGTTTTCTTGTCCATCTATGTGCTTTTAGTTCTAAGTTGCTTGGGGACAAGCAACAATTTAAGTTTGGGGAGATTTGATTGGTAAAAAAAAGTGTGTATTCTATATATTTATTAACGTGTTTTTATATTCTTAATTTTATCGCACTTATATATATTCCGACTTAATTATTTATTAGATGGATTTAAGTGATATGATATATTTATGGTTTATTTTCAAGATAATAGAGTATTTTAATAGGCGGCGTAGCACCAAATGAGAATTGAGTAGGCCAGTACGGGGTGCCCCATACCAGCCCAATTTTCAGCCCAATTGTGGAAGATGTTAAATCAAAGGTCATCATGCATATGGGCTGGTCTAAAGCCCATTAGTTTGCTGTTGAAAATTAAAAGGAAGAGGTCTTTAAATGACCTTGGTGTAACTTACGTAAATAGGGGAGGTGAGATATTAAGTGGGGCCTAAAAGTTTACATGAATTAGCCCACTTCATGACTTATTTCAACAGCATATAGGATTTATTTGCGGGACATCATATACGTAGCCACCATTGGAGATTTCTTTGAGAAAAAACACGCACAGCAACAGAAAAGGAGAGCCGCCACGCAAAGTCGCAACAAAGATAAAAAAAAGACACAGAACGAGAAACCCGACTAATAGCGGAGGGAGGCCGCACCCATACACGAGCGAGATAATTAATCTCTCTTTTTTATCTATTTTTTTATTTATTTATTATGTTAAAGTAGATTTTATTTTTAGTTCCGGTGAAGTCGAACCCTACGATTATCGATGGTTTGATTAATTTATATGGTTGATAATTTCAATATCTTTTTTAGAATTGTGCGTGTTATTTTGAATAATTAATCATGATGTGTTGAGTTTTATTTAGATTGATCACCTAGATTAGGCTTTTCATATCTACAGCTAAATTAGACTTTCAATCCGTAATTGTTGTTGTGTTTAATTCATAAGAGGCTACCAGAAGACGGTAACTACCGGGGATAACACGGCCTATTTAAGTGAACGAACGCGGTTGAGTTCACTACTTAGTCTAGTCTATTTTTCTACTTCGTAAAGCGGCTAATTGTATTAAATCTTGAAAACGTTTTTCTGGACTGTACAAGAAGTCAGTTTTAATCGTAGAGCGTCTCGCGGTTAAATTAAAATTAAGAAATAATTTGGGTAACAGACCGTGTCGTTGCCTAGGGCTAGTGATTTCGTAAGATAGCGAGATTTGATTCCAAAGTTGATTAGACGAGTCAGTCGAGGGTGTAGACGGAACCGTGAACTAAAAAGTTCTCTTTGATTTATTTATTTTTATTTTTATTTTTATTGTTTAGATATTATTTGCTTTATTAGGATTTTAGTTAGTTTAATTATCAAATCCAATCCCTTTTTTTTTATTGCTTTTATAATTTCAATTAATACAAGGGAAATCACAATTTAATTCACACTCCCTGTGGGTTCGACCCTTGCTCACTACTTCTACTAGTTGGTAGGAGTCGGTTAAGGAAAATATAAATTGTAATTTTATCGCGTTGCGACGCGCGGTCACCCCTCATCGGCCTTTGCAGATGACTTCGTTTCCTGTTTTGCTGTTCTTGCCGGTGTCGCTCTGCGATCTCTGGTCGCTGGCACTTTGGAGCTGCAGTGGAAATGGGATGGGGTTCGTTTTTGGGGGCTGAAGGAGAGCTTGTGGCTCACGCCGGTTGTGTCAGAGTGACTGGGCCATTGATGCCGTCCTCGCTCCCTCTCCCCTGATCTCTGGTATTGAGTCCGGGGGATGACCGGCATTGCCGGAATTGGCTAGTGGCGTTAGCCGGTTTCACGGCAGTGTTGGCTTGGGGGGCGTTTTTGGCATCTTTCAGCTGGACAGTGGGTTGGTTTTTGGATTGGTTCGGGGCTTGGGTCTTCGTCTTTGCTAGGCGTTTGGCAGTGGCGGGCGTGGTTCTTGTGCTTCAGATCTCTCCTTGGAACCGTTTTATGTCCGCTGTTTCAGTTCGGGCGTTCTGCTGAGGGAGCGCTCGTTTATCTAGTTATTGTTGTTTAGGTTTGTTTTTAGGTGTGTTTCATTTGTTTTGTCTGTTTTGTCTCGTGTTTTTGGTTTGGGATTGTCTTTGTTTATTCTTCTTTTGGGAGCTTTGTAGTTTTGTTGTTTAGTGTTTGTCGTGTTTGTAGTGTCTTGAGTTTGTGTTTTGGTTCCTAGCGTTGCTAGTGTCGATTCTAGGAGGACTTCAGTTCCGGCCTCCCAATTTATTCAGCTTTTGATTGTATTATTCAGCTAGGGGTCATACATTTGCAC